ACCTGTACCCAGTAATTTGTTACTGTCTCCTCCATTGAAAAATATACTGTAGTCATCTATTTCCTGGATACCCACCCCAATTTTTTCGTCTGTTATAGAGCTACTAGAGTATTAGATCAAATTTATGTTTTCTAACTTCACTTATTAAATGTTTCAGTTTTCCTTCCTGGTAGGAGGATCCTGTTATATTCCAAGTAGCATTTTTTACTAGTTCTTCTGTTATTTTATGTTTGTTTTATTGGCATTTTTATGGCATTTGTATCCATTATGTGCAACGATATTTTTCTGTTATATTTTATTTTACCGATAAAAAAAATTACGCCATATTTTCTTTGATAGTGTCTGTTTATTGTTTATTTATAACAAGCTTAAAAACTTTTTAAATTGTTTTTAGATTTATTTTTTTTTATGGAGCAATAAACCTACCAAATTTTTGCAGTTCCATTACGGAGTGTGACCAGTTTGACCTGTGGACATGCGGGTCCCATTGTTGCATTGGAACACCATGTCACTCGGAGCTGGGGTTCTACAAAAATTGTTGTTTGTGGGTTGGATGAAATTCAATGAACCTTTTTGCATTCAATTCGTATAAGTGTCAGGACATTTTGTGAACAAAAATGATGACGTTGAAATGAAAATAGCATTATTAAACAAGGAAAATGCATTTTCCTATCCTATGCAAAAAGTTTCATTGAGATCCAACCTAATGCAAACATTTGGTAGGTGTTGTGCTTTTTACTGCCTCATTGTCTTGACTATTAGTTTAAAATTATAAAGTGAAATATGTTTTAGCGATTTCCGGTGGTCACAACACTACAATTATGCGGCACCAATGGCAATTATCTTTAAGATATAAAGGAGAACATTTTTGTGGAGCATCTCTGATCTCCAACCGATGGGCTCTCACTTCTGCCAGCTGTTTGGACCAACACACTTCAGATCTTTCCGTGCGGGCTGGATCTGTCGACCTTTCAAGTGGTGGTGACGTAATAGACGTGGACGATTTTATAATTCATCCGAAATATAACAAGAAAACCTATAACTCTGATATAGCTCTACTCAAATTCACAAAAGATATGGAGGGAAACAATGTCTCGAGAGCTCTTGTACCTTTCCACGATACCAGCGATGTGTCAGATCATGCAGGGGTCGCTATAACCGGTTGGGGTGCAATTGAAGATGGTGAAAATTTCTCCGAAATGCTTCAAATGGGTATCCTTCGTCAATCCCAAGAAGTTCCTGTCAAATGGCGTATCCGACCAAAATCATATCGTTAAACATGTTTTGTGTTGGGGTTTACAACGTCCAAAACATTACAGCTTGCAATGGAGATTTTGGAGGACCGGCTACCTTTGCCAATTGTTTGCAAGGAGTAATTTCTTGGGGAGGACAATGTGGAAGTTTTACGAACCCGACAGTTATGACGAGAGTTGCTGCATTTAAAGATTGGATACTCACCACTACAGGCGCAACAGATTATTTGAACTGCCCTCTTGTCTAAGTTGGCACATTGTACATAAGATTTTACATTATTTGGAATGAACAATAAATATATCAGTTTAATAAAAATTGTTTTTTTCAAAAATAAAATTCTTCACCATTTGTTTAAACTGTTTCCTAAAAAATAAAGAATGTTTTGTTTGTTAGTAAATAAATATTTCGAAGGATTTAAAATTTATTTTAACTTGAAAGTTTATACTAAAAATCGGTATTAACAATAACAGGTAAGCAATCATCTTTGAATATACTTACTTATAGTTTAAAGTTGACATACATACTATAACCTCAAAATAATGCCATAAACGTCCTTGGCTAATCGCACAAGAGAATCTCTCCCTTGAAAATGGGATAGATGGTGAACTCTAAAAGAGTAGAGATAGTGACAGATATATAGATAGATAAATAGATAGATAGATAGATAGATAGATAGATAGATAAAATTTATTCATCCACAAAGTTTACACAATTCTTACAAAAAAAAAATGTATCAATCTTATCGGACTAGTCAAAATTTTAGTACAAAAGAGTACAATATATAGCAAAAGTACACATGATTAAAATAATAATAAAAGTTACAAATACAAATTTGTTGCTAATTATTGTTGCTAAACTATTGTTGCCAAAATGTTAAAAAATTTTAAAATCCATCAACACTGTAGAATGTGTTGTCCATTAAAAATATATACACAGTTTGGCGAAAACCTCTATGTGATGAATTACTGAGAGTTAATATATTGACTATTTTATTGTAACATTTTATTCTAATATATTCAGGTGCATGTTGGGATACACGTAATCTAGAGAAAGGTTGTCGAAAATTTGATTTACCCCTAGTATCATGTGAGTGAATGTTCTCATTTCTGTCAAACTTGAGCTTGTTTTCCTCAATGTGCAATATTAATTGGAAAATAAATTAAAAGGCTAGTTAGTGTTAAAATATTAGACTTGTTAAATAGTGGCTTGCAACTATCTGAAAATGGAACACCATACATACTTCTTAAAACTTTCTTTTGAGCTATAAATGCCAGTTCAAAATGAGATGCCCAAAATATTAAGCCATACTGAAGTGCAGACTGGACGACAAACTAAAGTAAATCATTCGCAATATATCAAATGAGACAGTTTCTCTTAAATTACGCATTATATAGCTACTGTACTTAACTTTTCTGATACATGATTTACGTGAGTTTCCCATGTAAGTTTATGATCTAGGGTTACCCCCAAAAATTTCGTTGTAGTATAACTTTCTACTGATTTGCCATCCACATGTAAATAACAGTCAGAATTTGGAGTTAAGTTTTTTGGGAAGAAACGCATAAAATGTGTTTTTGTTACGTTGAGCTGGAGTCCATTCGAAAGAACGGGAAAAAACCCATAAAAAAACATTGTTTTAAAGTTGGCCAAAAATTTCCGACATAACCTAAAATATTACTGAAAATTTCAAATATTTTTCCTTGGCTCAATTTTTAATCTAAAAATCTGAAAAAAATCAGGTAGTATTGTATTATTAAACTACGCTTTCATGAATTTTTTCAGATTTTTTTGCAGCAATACAGCGTCTAAAAAAATTTTTTTTTCTTAAAATACGTTTTTTCCCATAGCGAACCCCCAGAGGCACCTAAGGACTTGAAAATTTAACTGAGTGAGTTATTAATTATGTCCTTTCGAATGGCCAGGCCCAAAACTAAATCGAGCATGGTGCAATTTTGACCATCTTATCCCGCTATAGCCTTTGGTATTTCGTATATATTTTCATGTAGCTGTTTTTTTAAGAAATACTTTTATATGTGTAATATCAAACTAATCATACTAATAAGTTTTTCCTCGAATTTAGACCTTGATTAACGAAACCACCTGAGAATATTGAAATAAAGTAGTAAATAAATAATTTAAGTCAGGAATGATATGGTCTAAAAATAAACACCCACCCACGACAGGCGCTTAAAACCATTCTTCCTGATTTTCTTTCTTTGCGTTCATAAAACTTTTAAGATTTCACCTCCGGCGAGTGCTAAACTTTTTACATCTCTGTCCACATGACGTAAGCGCACCGGAGACGAGCTATCGACTGACACTGACGTCAAGGCGTCGGTTGCCTGGGATACGCCGGTTTCCGCCGCAATTCCAGCGAACGATCCAGACTGGCCTAGACTTTGACATTAACACTCAGCGATCGGAAAGTGGAAACAAGGCTTGGAGCTGTGCGATTAGGAGGCAATTTGGTCTCCCGATGATTTGGTTAAATACATGGAAAAACCGAAATTTATCTTGGAACGAAGAGAAAATCGATATGCTTTATTATATACTTAAGCGGATGAATGAAGGCCGACTAGAGAACTGAAATATTGTCTTTTTTAAAGAGCTGGAAGAATTTTAACTCATATAAATTGATGTAAAAGTCCTTATAGATCGTTAACATACAATTTTATTATCATTTTATTCCCTTTCATATAGTTTAATTTTATGCAATTTTTTAAGCAACGGCGTATACCATTGTCATCCGATATTGGTTGAATAAGTTCTTCGTTTTATTGCTTGATTTTGGTTTAGAATCGCCTTCCATGTATGTCGTCAATATAGGAATATACTAACAATATCGATCAGGTAGCAATGAAAGGTCACGGGCAATAACGAGGATGCAGCTGTCTTCCAACAATCGGTTTAACAATATAACACTGAATGGGATCAATACATCGTAAGAAATATCATATTAAATGAGTAATATCGTGTTTATTAAATGAAGCCTTGAATGAATATTTAAAAAAATTATTCTTGTATCTTCTTATGGTGCCCTTTCCAATTAGTGGATGTAGGCGATAATTCTGAAATACTGCTCTCGATCTTGTGTGGCTCTAAAAAGTGCATGGGCATCGAGATTCGTCCAATCCCTTATGTTTTTAAGCCATGAGTATTTCTTTCTTCCGATGCCTCGTTTTCCTTCTATTTTTCCTTCCATAATAAGCTTTAAGAACTGGTACTTGGAATTTCGAAATATATGACCCAGATAAGCAGTTTTTCTTCTTTTTATTATTGGCAGCAATTCTCGTTCTGTGCCCATTCGATTTAATACTTCGACATTTGTTGTATGATCTGTCCAGGGAATTTTAAGTAGTGTTCTAAATACCCACATTTCAAAAGCCTCCAATCGGTTCATCACATTCACTCCATTCTTGTATAACAAAAGGAATTTAATCATAAAAACTAGTGCGAATCGTACTCTTTTTGAATTTTGTTATAAAATTGTTCTTTGAAAACATCTTGCTGTACAGCTGGTTCCAAAAAAAAACTGATGCGACTCTTAGTAAGATTTGATCATTTTTGAGCAGTGTATTTGATTCAGTGCTGTGGGATAAGAATATTACGATAAAGATAAAAAAGAGAATATATAATACCCTTACAAGAAATATCCTGACATATGGGTCCGAAAATTGGACAATAAACAAGAGAAATAGAGGTAGAATAAGAGCAGTAGAAATGGAGTTCCTGAGGAGAAGCTGTAGACTTACAAAAAGAGACAGAATTGAAAACGCAGAGATTAAGCGGAGAATGCGAGTGCAATCAGACATAATCGACTATATAGAGGAGAAGAGACTATCCTGGTACGGCCACGTCAGAAGAGCAGACAGAGGACGCTGGATAAACAAAATCACAGAATGGAGCCCGATCGGAAGAAGAAAGAGAGGAAGACCCCGAAGGTCATTCAGAGACGAAATCGACGAGGCTATGGAGAAAAGAACCCTGCGAGATGGAGACTGGAATGACAGGGAAAATTGGAGAAAACGGTTGAGTGAAGGAAGACAGTGAAAACTGTGGAAATCCTTAGTAGTAGTAGTATTTGATTGGTCTGACATTATATCATATTTATTATGACAGACAAATAATAAAATACACAAACAAACAACAAACAATTGATTACATAATATGTTAATTCATAAATTGTAATCATTATTAAAATTTAAATTTTGATATTATTTTGACTTCCTTCATCTTATAAAAAGTAGATATATAACTTATAGTTTTTACATAAAATACGGTTGTTGTTATTATTTTTATTATTTTTATTATTATTAAAGAATAAAACAAACGACTTAGCTCATCAATATAATAAAGTAACCAAATAAAGTAACCAAAAAAGTAGAGTTGTAACCAAATTAAAAGATAACTGGGGACTATCAGAGGAAGCGAAACATTTTAACATAAACAAAATCACAGTTTTTCTAATAATAAAAACTGTTGGTAACAAGAAACTCTCGAAAGAAAGCGAGGGTCTGGAAGACCAAAACTATACTAAATTTAGGTATGTAAATCTTTCCTTTCCTTTCCAGTGGCGCCACCAGGGGGGTTTTGGGAGTTAAACCCCCCAGAACCCTATTCCAACACGGTTATTCACACATTTTAAGGACTTAAAATGGTGGAGGTGGCATAAAAAATATCGGTGCCCAACCAAAACCCACCCGGAGGAAAATTCTAGGTGCGCTACTGTATCCTGTCCTTTCCTTTCCTTTCCTTTCCTTTCCTTTCCTTTCCTTTCCTTTCCTTTCCTTTCCTTTCCTTTCCTTTCCTTTCCTTTCCTTTCCTTTCCTTTCCTTTCCTTTCCTTTCCTTTCCTTTCCTTTCCTTTCCTTTCCTTTCCTTTCCTTTCCTTTCCTTTCCTTTCCTTTCCTTTCCTTTCCTTTCCTTTCCTTTCCTTTCCTTTCCTTTCCTTTCCTTTCCTTTCCTTTCCTTTCCTTTCCTTTCCTTTCCTTTCCTTTCCTTTCCTTTCCTTTCCTTTCCTTTCCTTTCCTTTCCTTTCCTTCCTTCCTTTCCTTTCCTTTCCTTTCCTTTCCTTTCCTTTCCTTTCCTTTCCTTTCCTTTCCTTTTCCTTTCCTTTCCTTTCCTTTCCTTCCTTTCCTTTCCTTTCCTTTCCTTTCCTTTCCTTTCCTTTCCTTTCCTTTCCTTTCCTTTCCTTTCCTTTTCTTTTCCTTTCCTTTCCTTTTCTTTTCTTTCCTTTCCTTTCCTTTGCTTTCTTTTCCTTTCCTTTCCTTTCATTTCATTTCCTTTCCTTTCCTTTCCTTTCGTT